ACAATCCGGGTCCTCATTTTACCCACCTCGGAAGGATGGAAGGCTGAGTCAACCCTGAGCCGGTGAGATTTGAACAGTCAGCTGAAGTAGCCTGCAGTGCTGCATTTAACCACTGCGCCACCTCGGCTCCTCCTAAATGAGAGACAGATAGTCTATGACTTACAACTGGTTGCTTAGGAACTGTTTGAAGGTACCATCCTACCTGGAAAAAGGTGCTTATGACCTGGATCTGAAGTTCCAATGAGTGCCCTCCTTTTTCCCTGCAGTCACATGATTTCATTTCAGGTACTTGGCAACATTTACAGCTATTTGCAACATCCTCCAATTATGTGATTGTGTTTTATGACAGTTTTGTCAAAAAGTAGCACTTCTGGTTTTCGGCCAAACTGTACCAATGTGAAACAATGGCTCTGTCCTTAAATCCACCATGTTCTTTTAATGTCTGCACATCTGCATGTAATGATTGCTGCATTCGCTTAACCACCCCTGCAAAAAACATTGTAAAATTGGGTCGGACAGCTTTTACAACTGTTACAACTTATTTATTTGGAAAATTTATATTGCCGCCTACTCGCTCAAGGTGGCTTACAGGAAATAAAAACCTATGACTGTCATAGGCTCCATTATGGTTGTAACTCGAGAACTAGCTAGGTTAGCTGGTCCCTTTTCTTTCCAGAAGGCTTACAGTCTGAGACTCATAGATTTGCAAGTATGCAAGTATGTTATGTAGCATATGGATCCTGAACACTGTGACAATATTTTCTATTGCATTCCTAGACATATTCCCTTTTAGAATTAGTTAAAGCTCCCACTGTGCCAAGCAGAATTCCTTCTTCTGTCTTGTCCAACTGTATTTACTAAAGAGGGAAAGGAATGGGATTTATGCGATTATTTTATCTGCTTTCACATATCTCAAAGTTTCTGTACTATAAGGGGGGGAAATCCATTTCTGAATGACATCAAATGTAAATGTTTAAATAATTTAAATATAGCAATACTTTTACACACCATGTCATTTAGTAAATATTATATTTTTAGGCTGACCTGGGTCCAGATAAATATTTATCTGACAGAGATCTTCAATGTGCTGTCAAGTTTCTTTCTTCCTGTTCGGTAAGTAGATAAGTAGCTTTAAACAGGCAAATATGTATTTGTACACTTAGAGGTCACCAATGAAGATTTGTTCATGATTCTTGATTCTTGATTTTAGAGACTGGCTTATAGATTGCCATCTGAGTTAACTTATAAAGAGGAAACATTGATTCTTTGTAATGATCTCTTGTTCTTATCTCCTTTCTTCCAACTCTCCCAGTTGCAAATTTCCACTAGAACATTTTTATTTTATTTTTTAAAATGAAAGTTTCTTCTGCCTTAAGCTCAGAGGCTAATGTTGTATTACTACTTCACATCTATAAAAGGCATGTCAAACTCAAGGTCCGTGGGCCGGATCCAGCCCATGGGGTCTTTAAATCTGGCCTGAAGGGCTGGCCTGGAAATAGCAAAGTGCCTCTGGTAGTCAAAATGGGGTGGGGGCACCCCCGTTTTGGCCGGCAAAGTGCTGCAGGAGACCATCCTGGTCAAAAATGGGCCCTGCATCCCCCCTCCCGTGCCTCATTTTGGCCAGCAAAGTGCTGCAGGAGGCGTCCATCCTGTCTCCTGTACCCCACCCCCCCACCAGCCAGCCCATGGAGGAGAACTACAGTGCTGATCCGATCCTCGAAGAAATCCAGTTTGACACCCCTCACATACATATAATATGGCTGGCTATGGTTTCTATATGTTGCAAGCCAACTTAGACAAAAGTTTACCAAAGCCTACTTAAAGTGTATTATGAATTGCGATCCTCTGCACTTCAATGTGTGACTTAGTCTCATTTAAATTGCTGAGGAATGGGGATTGGGAAAGGCTTTATGTAAATATGTATTCCATGAAGGTAATGCTAATTCATTTTCTTTTCTGGACAGCATCCTTATATTTACAAAGTCATTTTTGCCACAGCCAGTGAATCTTCTGCACTAGTAATTAGACACTTCAGTGAAAAAGGAACTCTAAAAGACCTTATTTATAAGGTAATTTCAATAACATGCCTTTGTCAATGTATTCCATACATGTGCAACATATACTATATATTTAGGATTTAATTGATTAAGGATACAGCTTAACTAATAAATTTGTTTTGGTGTTAACTTTCATTTTGTGGTATTCTATCATACTCTGTGTTTGTAACTACAAACCACCCAGAGATGCTGGGAGATGTCAACATTTAATAAATTAATAACAATTCTTCTGTTTTGTGGGCAGTAAATACTCATACATTTAGCCCCTCTTTATATAATAGGCATTCTGGGAAATTTCATCTCCCAGCATCTTTTAACCTTGGTTTTTAAGAAGAGATTAGATAACAATTTATTTGAAATGGTATAGAGTTTCCTGCTTGAGTAGGAGGTTGAATTAGAAGACCTCCAAGGTCCCTTCCAACTATGTTAGTCTGTTATCACTATTGGATACAAAAAAATTTGGTAAATCCTGATTCCTTAGATATACATATTTGGCTGAGGTGTGGCTATAAAAATTGAATAAATAAATATACATAACAAAGGAGGAACGCAGTTCCTAAGATGCTGAGCTTGTCGATGAGAAAGGTCGGCAGTTCAGAAGTTTGAATCCCTAGTGCCACGTAATGGTGTGAGCTCCTGTTACTTGTCCCAGCTTCTGCGACAGCTTCTGTGTTTCATGTGCCTTCGGCGTTTAGTCATGATGCCACATGACCATGGAGACGTCTTTGGACAGCGCTGGTTCTTCAGTTTTGAAACGGAGATGAGCATTGCCCCCTAGAGTCAGAAAAACTTGCACATATGTGCGAGGGGAACCTCTACCTTATATAACATAGAGCTGGCAAGTACTATCTTCAGGGCATTTTCTCTTTTATCCAAGAGAGAAGTTCTGCACTTAATATTGCCTCTGTTATTACACTGGTGTTTCAAACCAAAGTAAATTTCTGTGTTCTTTTGTTTCAAAAGTCTTGTTTAATGTACAAATAAACTTATGTTTCTGGGATACCCAGGGAATTTCAATATTAATTAATGATTAGCCATATTTAAATAGTTAAAGAAATCATAGTTGAGGTGTGTCAATTCCTGAATCTTTTTATCTGCTATTAGCAATAGGAGATGGATGGATGGATGGATGGATAGATGATTGATAGATAGATAGATAGATAGATAGATAGATAGATAGATAGATAGATAGACAGACAGACAGACAGATAGATAGATACACACACACACACACAC